TTACCGTAGCACCATCCCAAGCGAAAAGGGTCTATTATCTTATTCCTCTTTATTGAGTCAGACCCCCCCTTTTTTATTTGCTTTCCTGCACAGTTTGCTGCCAAGCGACAAAATCCAACAGGTTTTCTCAACCGTAAAACTTCTACATGGTGAATAAACTTCACCGTTCTACTTAAAAATATATAAATAAAAAGTGAAAATAGGTTTTAATATCGTCTTATAGCTTTCGCCTTTATATCAGAATCACTGAATGGTTAATTTTCAGTGATATCGCATTTCCCCCAAACTTCTACTTTTCTTCCTAGTAATCCATAAATTTTTATTTGATTTTCGTCCTGTAATTAATAATTTAAAGTTCTAAAGTAGTTTTTTTCTGTAGGCATATACACAGGGTGTTCTTAATTAAAATTTTATTTTGAGAAACTATGATTCAAGCAGCGGCTTAATTTCATATTGATGTATTTTTAGCCCAAAGGGGCAATTTGCCCAGATTACTTTGCGTTGATTCGCTATAAGCAGCGAATCACTTTTTAAATTGTTGCCACCAAATATTAGAGCCCTGTATTATATTTAAAGAAATTAAATAATGAAGAATCTGCACAAATGTAGGTATGTTTCTCGCATTGTGATGAACAAACTGTACCTAGAGCCATCAAATTTTAAATAACGTACTTCTCCACCCGAATATGGGCATCTAGAAGCCCAAATTTGGGATTTGTTTTATTTTCGATTTCATATTTTGTAAAGCATTTATGAGTTTTTGATTAAAAAACTCACGGATTTCAAAGTGAGCAATGGCAAAAATGTACGGGAAAAAGAAACACTTTTCTGTCCAGCGCCCGCGAGACTGTGTATCGGAAATTCTAAACATATATTCTTTTAAATATTTTGCGATATTGCTGTTGGATTGAATTTTATGGTTTAAGTCCGAAGAACATGATATTTAATAAATAAAAGTAACACACAAAAAGTTAAAAAAACGCCTCTTTGGGTGTAATATAAAATCTGAAAGGTTTCAGATTTTTTTTTTACATGATAATTTTATATAAATTATGTGAGTGTAATTTTTTTTGAGAAGAGGAAAAACAAATTTAGAAACTTTGACTTGAACGATGCGTAGTGCTTTCTCAAAGTAATTAACTCAAAGCTTAGAATATACAGAGTGTACTGCATGGTTACCCAGAATCAATATATGAATTAAGCTAGAAAATATCTAAGTAGTATGACATACAGCTTATGCAAACCTCTAATGGCAGAAGAGGATGCATACATTGAATAAAAAGCTGCTGCCGTAAAAGCAAGCGACTTAAGAATAAGACAGTTCATTATTGGTCATTATTTTTGGCAATTAACATCATGATACCATTATCATTGAAGAACTAACTATTCATCATGAAGTTCGTTTATTAAATCCTCTGTGTCATAACAGAATTGCCAAAAGCTTACAACATTGAAAAACAACAAAAAATAAGTAGCCATATGACTACTACCATATGACTGTAGTTGTAAGCAAAATGTTTAAAAATTTAGAAATGATCTCAGTGCTAGTTAAAGACGGAAATTTGTCCGCAGTGAAAGGTAGCAATGGCTCTAGAAGAAGAAATAATGGCAAATGACGTGAGAAGCAGCTGTGCACGTTACATTGCGTGTTCTGGCGACAGGTTCTGAGACATTGTTCACGAAACTTCAAGAGAGAAATTCTGCGTTATTATCTGCTCTCAGACACTGTTAAATCATAACCGGAATACAACGTCGTCTAGGAGATTCTTGCTCCAAATGAAATGGAGAACTTAAGTAAAAAGGAATATTTTATAAACAGATGAAGCTCTGCATGATGCAAAGCTGACCAATTCAGGCAATTCACATATTCCACAAGTCGGTCCATTTCATAATACGAAGTGTATCTTAGGAAAGGTTTTACGGTAAAGCTAACCTTTGAACCTTTGGTTTAGAGATGCAGTCTGTTGCTCTAGTGCCTTCACAGTTAATAGCCATATCGCTTTCAAGCTTTCAAGTAATTCTAGCAGCTTCATTGTAAGGTATATTTTAATTTTATAGCAGTCATTTTAATTTGGAAAACCTTACCTATCAATTCTTGTTTCCACTTACAACTCCCTACCAAAATGAGTTTTTAGAATCGCGTTGAATGCAAATGAGTTAGAAGAAATACTTAAGGAAGGTTCAACTTACTTCGTGAGAGAGAGCTAGGAATCCTGAGTAGCGCGTGTTTGCCTACGCGCTAAGTCTCTCTTGAAGCTGTTACGCTCGGCCGTATTATACGTACCTTTTGACATTCGGCGGATAATTTAAATTAAGGGCTTCTACGTTAGATACTTGTGTGTTAAATTCTACGTTAGATACTTGTGTGTTAAATTCTACGTTAGATACTTGTGTGTTAAATTCTACGTTAGATACTTGTGTGTTAAATTCTACGTTAGATACTTGTGTATTAAATTCTACGTTAGATACTTGTGTGTTAAATTCTACGTTAGATACTTGTGTGTTAAATTCTACGTTAGATACTTGTGTTTAGCTTCGGCTAAGTCTTCTTTAGTTAGCTATAGTTTAGTTTCTTATTTCTTATTCTGAGTTAAAGCCCGAGTAGCAGCTTTGTTGTAGTCCTGAGAAAGGGCCCGACTGTTATTCTTATTTGAGTGATATAAAGAGTATTTTAACCCTTTTCGAGTCTACGATTTAGTTGTTTGAACTCAGCGATAAGTCGCTACACAGTTCACTAGGTTCCTCGACGTTCATCTTAGGCAAAAGGAATGAGGAACCTTACGTCATATTTCATTTAACCTTTAAGATGATTGTAGCACTTCAGCAGCTACCAACACCTAGTTCAAAAATTTTAAGAAGGCTCATACTTCATACCTTCATATGGTTAGCCTAGTTGATATGAAGCGGTTAATTCAGAGGCGCATTTTACGGATAATCCAGCCGCCGTTTTTCTATTAAATATAGTAATGTAGTCATTGCTATCATTTGGTTTGAACCCTTTTAACTGTTGCCTGTACTGACACTTCAAATATGTTGTATCAGTTGGATTATAAACACATAATCAGCTTAATAGATCTCAAGATGAGAAATGCGCAGTAATGCAACTTCTTAAACGAAGCATTACATGCTATATTTGACTATAAAAATCTGGAGATGTCAACAGGTTGCTAACAGAAGAAACTAATGTACAGATAAATGAACTTGCTTCATATAATGTACTGGTGTATTGCTAAATTTTGCCTCTCGTCTGCGATAGTAAGGTGCTCTTTACCAACTTTTTTTTTTTTTTTTTTTTTTACCAACAACCAAGAAATTTTAGAAGTCTCTTTTTCTTTTATAAGGAAGGCTTCTAACAAAAATCCATCCATGCATGATTCTCTATGTTAAATTAAATATTCCGAAAAATGGTTCCCAAGTTACGCCTTTTCGAAAGTGAGCTTTGAGTATTAGTACAAGGATTTCGAAAATGACGGGGTGCACACATTATTTTCTCAATTACAGATCCGACATAAATGCGTCCATTGAACAAGGTGGGAGAACATTTGGTGGGAAAAGGCAGTAGACGGAACGACACTATTTCGAGCTGGGAATGACCCGAGAAAGGAATAACGGCACTGAGCCTTTTCAAGTGGATTCGATACTGGTATCAGTTTGCTGCAAATAAGAGTCATCTTGAGCTGAAACTTAGTGAGTCATGTATGCGAGAAAAGTAAGAAACTGAATGTAAGAAAAACTTGATGGTTACATGTGTGAGCAATTTTTAAAAACTAGCGCCGCTAAAATAAGCGTGTTGGTAAGAGTATACAGACTTATCTGCCTTCAGTTAATCTGCCAAAGTTGTTTTTTTTTGGGGGGGGGTTTTTCTTTAAGATCATAATTTTCTCTAGAGTTTATAGATCTGGATTTTTGTCTTTAATAGCTAAGACCTGATCTATACATTTTTGTCAAGCATTTCGAATATTTGTGTTTTAACTGAGTTAAATTGGTGATGAGGCTTTAATTACCCCGCTAAAAACTAGGTAGGCCCCTTTTCATAGAACTAATTTGGTAATAATGGCAAATTCCCATGTACGTAAAAAATGCATTTTCATATACCTTTTATTTAGAGAGTGGTAAGAGATCTTATAAAAGTTACATTGAAGCTTTTCTTACCTTTTAAATATATGTTAAGATATAAAAAGCAGTATTTCCGCGTTGTTATGTTTGAAGTCAATACAACTTACCTAAGAAATACACCTTTAAAATACAATAACACGCCGAACAAATATTAACTTAGAAGCCAAGCAACAAAAAATCAGCGTTGTATTTTCAAATTTTCACAGGACTAGTTTCGTGAAAATTTGAAAATATAACGCTGATTTTTTGTTTCTTGTCTTCTAAGTTAAATACACCTTTATTTAACTTCCATTTTGGAAACTTGCTGCCGGAAGGAGAAATGAAATATTAAAAATTAAATACTCTTCATATAGGTAAAAAGGACATTGTCATTTACTTAGAAAATAAATACATTTCCTAAATTATGTGAAGTTCCATGATGATTACTGTCAACATGTACGTTCATATGCTTTAAATATCATTATGAAATTTCCATTTCCTGCGAACTTCACAAAAAATGCTTAAACTCATATCTCAAAAATGATATTTTAATGTCATTTCAAAAGGCTGTTACTTTCTATTTTGCACTGAAAATGATATATTTGACTCTTAAAATATTAAGCCTTAAATCCTGCATTGCATTTATTTACCTAAAAAGCAAAGCTAAGAGAATTGTCATAAAAAATTCGTTTAGGTAATTGCTAAGGCGTTCAAAATTTAATGTCATATTACCTAACGTTAGATTTATGTTTTTAAATTTGCATTAGAGTAAAAAGAATTATCCTCAGTAAGTAGACTAATTTTGTCAATGCGTATTAATTTAGGTTTAAGACAAATGTATATAAATTTTGGAAACAAAGGAATCATAATTTATTTTGCTTACAGTAACGTATTTTTTATTCTAGTGATATTGGAACTACGCCCATAACATCAACTGCGCCAATGCCTAACTGCTTGATGAAAATATATATTGGGAGACCTGAGGAACATCGTCTGGCAGAGCATGTGAGAATCGGTGATTATTTGACTTTAGTCATCAGCATAGACGACCAAGGTTAGTAATTTGCAGTTTCTTTTGTATGTGGTTAGAACCTAAGATTAAGTGCAGTCTTTTTTTTTCTTCATTTAGAAAAATTAAGTTTTTTTCCCTAGATGCATGTTTAATATTTATTATGTATTTTTCAAACAGGTAAATTTCCTAAAACAAAAATTTTCCCGTCATTTATTTAATAGATTTAATTGCCTGATAAATATGAAAGATAGAGTTTGCCATTAAGCACAGAAGACTAGAAAGGTAACGTTGCCTGTATCTAATACTGAATGACTACATAAAAGGTTTCCTGCCTATCGTTTTTGAAAATATCTTAAAAACAGATTCAGACATTGCAAAATAAATTTGAGCTTCCGTTCACCCTTCTTAGCATGAAACGTTCCGATTCGTTAACCTAACAACTGGAATTATCTTGCCCTTTACGGATAGAGTACCATAATTTTCTTTTTTTCCCACTACTTTGCGAAATAAAGCTTACCTTTAATAGATTGATATTATCTTTGCTTAAATGAACTCTTTTGAACAATGCCGTTCGTATCGGAAGGAAAAAAAGACAAAAATAAGTTACTTTAGAATTAGTCACTACAGAGTTATCTAAAACCATTTTGCTACTACATTACGAGAATTTTCCTGCAAACATTTATAGTTTTGTTGCTGATCTTAAAACTGATTTAATTATAACTTCATTATTAAAACGCAAGAAGCCTTATCTTTTAAGAAATGCGAACCGGTTTTTAAGTCACTTCTCCAAGATGGAAACTAAAATGTATTTGCTACAGCATTGGTAGTGTGCTATTTCTGTTTTATAAACTCTTGGGCAAAGAGAGTTGTGGGCAATATCATCTGCTCTTGGGTGTTTACGGAATATATCAAGACAATTAATAAACAGTATGGTACATTTATACGTACAATAGACGTGATTAATCGGCCTTTATTGGACCGAATTTTAGGCCCGACAGGCAAATGGTTGGTTGATAAAAAGAAATCATGCAAAATATAATAGCATTTAAAGGCTTCATATTCGATTTTGAAAAATTACTTATATAACATTTTTAGCAACTATTTATATAATAAAAAACCCAGTAATTTAAGTTACTGTTAACTAAAAAGTAACTAACAAAAATAATACTTATGCTCAGCGACTTCGATATAATGTGCACATATTACAATGGATGACTGATGTGTAACCTCAAAATTGTATAAAATTAGGATTATTAATGTTCTTATTTATTTACTTGAAAATATACTGCATTGTCTGTGAGCATAATGCCTTGAACCTCTTTACAGAATCTTCAGCAGAAATTTGCTTTTCACTGAATACAAATGCATGTGCTCATGCAATACATACATGTAATCATTCTATGTAACACAAATATCATGTAATATCTTGAGGATATTGTCACCATAATTTCTCAACCAGTTGAAAAAGAACTGTTGTTGCAGAAGGGGAAGTGATGGAGCCAACAGATCACATCTCACGATATAGTTCTGCACTCTAAATCACTCAGGCCGTCATTAAGACACTCGGCACCAATTTAAGTAGTGGCAACATTGGCAAGTGGTTAAGTGGAAGACGCACGTTAACAGTTCTACATATGCTATACGTGTCTCCGAGTAATGGAGCTATCCTTGCTTAACTAACAGCCGACAGAGATTCTGTAGGAGTAGGATTCGTCGTCGAATGAGACTATCGCCATACTCGCAAAGAAGATATACCAACCTTGCAACTCCTATTTTGGGAGGAAGAAGTTAATTCTGAGAGAATGATGTTAGTTAAAATTCGCTAATACTTATGTAGATTACGATTCTGTATGCATACATTCATTGATTACTTCACATTTTCATTCCAGGAAATGATCCTGTGAAGCTACGAAAAATGGCGTTATGAAATCCAGCAAACTCGTAATATAGCATCACTCGACAAGCATTGTCATATTTAATGTAGTATTTCTATTTATTTAGCATTTAATTTTAACCGTTACGCATTTTAGAACATCAGATTCATATTCTTATATACACCGTGTATACAAAAATCTTTATGCAGCCTTTATTTTCGCAACCATTAGTCGTAGGTATATATATATATATATATATATATCCAATTGAAGAAATGCTTCAAATAAGGAAAAATATTCATGTTATGACATATTTTTAATTAAAAAAATTCAATTCTGTAAAAATTACAAACATCTGACTAGTGTACTGCTTCCAATCTCTGCAGTTATGTTTAGTACATGCTTGTTTTCATTCTAAAAAATAAAGCACAGTATTATTTGCGAATCCGGAATCTTAGAAGTGTTGAGTGAAATATTTGACTTTCAGAAATAAAGTTTAATCAAAATTTGATTTGATCATGAAGCATCTGACACGGACCTTTCGACAGATTGTGCCTTATATCAATATACATAACTGCTATGCAACTTTGGTTCTTTGCATTCTTGATCGTTTTTATCAAAGCAAATTTTCCAGCATTTCTGCCAAAAACTTCTGTATGCTACAATTTTAGATTTACTCAGTGTATTTAGGCTTCACATGTTTATTAAACGAATGGTAAAGCTTCGTTAAAATTGTTTTTCCATCATAACAATTATAATTTAATATGTATTGTTATATAAATTAAAGCGTATTGTGATAATTTTTGTTTTGATGTTAATGTTAACTAAAATATTATCAGTGTCATTTCGTTTCCTTTATTTGAAGCCAGAAATGTTTATAATGTAAAAACAAAAAATATGTTTGTATTTTCAGATGTTTATGGTATGAAGATAACCAACTGTATTGTGAAAGATGGTCTTAACTGGTCCGAGCAGCCTCTTATTAATAATGATGGGTATGTTTTGTTAATGATGATGGGCATAATTGTTAATGATGATGTTAACAATGATGATGTTAATAATGATGATTTTAATAATGATGGGTATGATAATTTGTTATTGATGATGGGTTATTAATAATGATGGGTATGTTTTGTTATATTGCTAATTTGAAAATTAAAAATACTACAGTATTTTAAAAACTTTTGTATACTTTTTAAAACTTTATTATTTTTCTTTGTAAATGTAGGATTTGACGTTTTTAGTTGCATCTTAAAACGCATAGTATTTTTAAGCATAATTTTAATAGTTCCGATAAAAAATACTTAAGTCGCTTTTTTGGAATATGTGTAGTGAATAAATCCATACTTGTTGAGTCCTAAGCTTTAACTGCCTAACGGCAGGTTGTGAGTTCTGTTTCGACCGTAAAAGCACAACAATAATTGTGTAGTCTTAATGAAGGATGATTAATTACGACCCAATTGTAATGAATTAACTATGGCATAAAGTTGAACAAACGGGCGGAGACAGGTAAATATCCCAGTTTTGTTCAAGTAACACGAATACAAAACTATTTAGATTAAGTGAATTATATGGAAAGTAGCAAGCACTAGTTGTTCTCTGTAGCTGTTATTTGAGATGATCGTTGGACCAGTTAACTCCAGTACCGAATCAGTGTTTGGTCGTCAATTTTGTGGTTGAAAGATGTTCAAAATCTTCTCAAATTCTCCGTCGGCTGTCATATGTGTTTGTAGAACAGTCTGCAGCATTTCCACCAGCATTTAAACACTGTAAACTATTTGTGAAGGTCTTAAATCTCTTGAGGATGACTCTCTTGAAGGTTGGCTGAAAGGTGTTATTATGAGTGAATTCAATACATAAAACACAGGCAAACGATTTTTAACGATCTACTAGTTACTTTACATGGGTACTGTTTCATGCTGTTTGCTGACAGATTTTGGGAAACCATTCACAAGGGTCGCGTGGGATTGTGCAATAAAGGTAACATTTTGCAGCATGATAACACAAGATTCCATAGGGCCGTAGAATCGATGAAAGCATTTTCCTATCCCCTCTCTGACTCATTTTCACAAGGAGAGTTTCGAGCGGAAAATTTTTCATACAAATGTTTCATATAAATGATTTAGACAACTCTTCGACGGTTCAGAAACCAACAACAAAATTCCACGCTGCCGAAATGTAGTCCAGATAGAGGAAAATGTGATGCAGTGGCAGGGGACTACGTCGAAAAATGGTAGAGGTAATTCCAGCTTATATCTCAAAGTTGGTTTGGACAACAAGTTGGTCCGTATATTTACTGGGCATCCAGAAGCTCGGGAAAATGTTTCAGCTATATTATTTGGAAAAGGCGCTGTTATAACACTACTTGGGGGCAGGCATGCAGCTAATACTTAAATATCTGCACTTGAAATCTTCGTTCCTCATTTCCATTACTCAGAAACAAATTCATTAATTTAAGCTAATTTTCCATATTTATCCCCAAGGTGGAGAGAGCTGGAGCAGAAAGGGAAAAAGAGTTTTATATTAAAAATACAATATTGTTAGTTGAAATAAAGACTATGCCTTGCTATGTCTGAATAAAAATAACCTCACAAAACTGATTTAAAATTTCTCTCAAATGCATTTTATTGTTAAATATCTTAAAATATTATATTTTAACTGAACACTTTAAATTTTCTGAAACTACCAATGTTATTTAAGCATTAGAGTATCTGATTTTGATTAATTTTACTTGATTTGTAGTTGTCCTATAGATGAGGAGATTATGGGACCCTTCGAGTATAACAAGAATTTAACTTCAGCCCACGTTACATATCCTGCTCACAAATTTCCATTCACATCGTCAGTCTACTACCAATGCAATGTGAAACTGTGCTTTAGAATGCACGCAGGAGGCTGCGATGATGTGGTAAGTCCCACTAATAGATTTTATAGCTCTTCAGTATATTTATTTCTAATATTTCATTCGCAACTTTGATTAGAGGTGAGAAGTTTCTTGTATTAAGGTGTTTTAAACTGTTGTTTAACTTGTATTAAACTGTTTCATGGTGAAAAGAAAAACGATCTTTGTGTTTAAGTAGAGAAGAAGAATTCGTAATGGTACCACAAAATGCCGTCTATAGTTAAAGCCGCAAGTCAATTACCCTCACGTTAGACCATGTGGTTCGTTTCTTACAAATGTATAGTTTAATATCTGAGTTACTTTACTATATAATTTGATAATATGTAATTTGTAATTTAATATGTGAAAGGTCCGAAATTAATAAGACTGAATTGTCTTACCATTTGTTCCTACTTTCCTACCATATATATATGTATTCCGAAATAATATCTTTCCAGTGCCTTTGATAATTCCAAAATTCAAGCTCAAATAAACTGTGACTGATTTACTAAGAACTCACTTTCATTCTTTGATTTTTCTCTGGCTGATTTCAATTTTTGACTTATTTAAGCGTTATTCTAAGAGTTCTGTTTTTCTTCAAAAATTGGACTTCTCAAATTAATACTGAATATGTAGTAAATTATTTCATTGTCATTTTAGCCACCTATATGTGACGAAACTGGTCATAACGTCCGTCGACGTCGTCGTAAGAGACAAAACGAAGTTGAAGATGTGGGTAATCTTCAAGACTTGCGATCAGAAGACAGAGACCGAAGCTTGGAAGTCTACTCAGGACTATACGTAAATGAAGTTGATGAACTCGAGGACGAATATGGTTAGTATATTCATGGAAGCTGGCTTCATCTTAACTATAGCATAAATTCTTGTTCTTTATGAGGGTAGAAACTTTATGTTTGGGGTGAAAATGCTTTATTAAATGAATTTTGAAAGGCACTGCATATGATTTGTTGCAAAAGTCTCTATATTTGTAATCAGTTGTTTAAATCTATTTGATCTATTTATTAGAAGCTAATATTAATATTAGTATTCTATATGCTTTCACTACACATTAAATAGAAAAAGTGAATTATTTATGTTGGTGTGACAAGCCTTTTTCAATTATAAGTTTTATTTACTATAGTTATATTCATTTTGTAAATCCGTTAAATTACTTACATTAAGCTAAAATTGACATGCTTTATAGTATTTCTAAAAGGTTACAAAATAAGTATTGTACAATTATATAAAATTCAGTATTGTGCGTGAGTACTTTTGTTGTAAAAATGATGCATTTTGTAAAATATGAAGATATTTTATGCTAAAAGTATATACATTGCCTCGAATAAAGTGTACTTTAAATTCTATATGTTGAAGAAAAAAAAACAAAGTAGTTAACTAGAATTTAAAAAATACAGTTGAACATAAATAGCTGCACAACTAAGCAAATTTCTCATTTCAATATAGACAACAATAATTTTCAAAACCAAAGGGCAGAAGATTTTAATGATGCAAATGCTTGCAACATTTATAGTTTAAAATGTAAAGTACAACTAGATGAGATTTAAATGCATAATCATAGAAGATGAAACTCAACCAAACATAATGTCAAAAAAATTGCAATAAAGAAATCTTGCATTGCTATTCAGTGAAACCAAAATTTCGAATTTTTTAGTTTTAATATTAACGATCTAAGTACTTAACTTAAGTTTGTAACCGTATAAATTAAGGACTGTTAGTTGAAAATTCTCCTTGAGAAGTTCATTTTTGTCAAGATCAAACGGATCGGAAGTTTTCCAAATCTTTGTTATTATCGAATGTTTCCAAATGGGGAAACAATTAGCTCAAAATTATTTTATTTATTAAGCATCACAAAATTCCATCTTTTGTTATCACTGTAGAATCATATTTAATGGATAAAATTGGCAGATTAATAGCTGTGACCAAAACACTTGGATCATATTTTAAAGAATCGTGAAGTAGGTTCAGTGCCCACAAGTGAATGCGAGGTAAGATTGTTAAGTAATGGTTGCCGGGTTCTAGTACAAATCCTACTGAATGGGCTGACTGCATGGAATTTTCAGGGTTCAGCACGCCTAACATGAACTCATTTCTCTTGAAACGTCTTCCAAGACTAAATATTATATCAAATTGAAGGCATCCTTTCCCTTAGACAGATAAATTCCCATGCTTTGCCATAATACAATTAATCCAAATCGATAGACCAATTTCGATAAATGTTTAAAAATGGTTCAGGCTACAAAAAGCTTAAAATATCATTACATAGTTAATGTAAGATTGATTCAACGCAATAAAGATTATAACCAAACTTCGAAAAATCATTGGCAGTCTGTTACGGGATGATTGATCTATTGATTCGTAGCCTTTATATTTTTACCTGCTGACAGCGTATATATTTCGTCCATTAAGTAATAATTATAAAGTAGCTTTTCAAAATGAATGGAAATTTTCACTAATCGTGAGCAGGATATTTGCAGCTAAACATCCCCCCCCCAAAATGTTGCTTATTATTTAAGAAACAAGTTAAGAAAGAAAATCATTCATATAATTTCCGCAGACCTAAAAAATAAGTGGTGGTTAGAATCGAAATACTGTCCTTTAATTCTTAATATCATCATTGCGAAATTTTAACGTTTGTATTATCAGATAGAAAGGGAAATAATTTTACAAATGCACTTTATTTCCTGACACTTAACGCAATTTATCCACTTTTGTCGATTTTCCTTAATTCGATCAATTCTTTGGACTATTATATCTCCAGCAATTTTATATTTACGACGTCACGAATCTAGCCGTTTTGGTGAATTGAAAATTCAGAGGTTAGAAAATTGACCTTCCTTCCTCTTTTAAAACAAGGATGGTCAAAAAATATTAATTAGGTGCTTGTATTTTATTTACTATAAAATACAAGCACCTAAGTAATATTTTTTAATGTTTATTACTTTGATAACCTGAAGAAATTTTTCTTTTCCTGATTTATTTATTTAATTTAAATTATTTGAGTATGCACGAGAGCTATGTCTAAACGGAAGGATATCTTCTTGGAGGACGTGCTGAGGCAAAGTAACTCTTATTCATATCACATACGGAGAATAGCACGACGCTATTTTCTTGACCTGATTTTATTGAGGCCTTTATACAAAATTGTTTCATACTCACTGGACGGCAGTATCTTATTATCATTTCTAAATGCTGCGTATGAGAATTGATGATTATTTAAATGAAACTATGCCTTTGACAAGAGGCAGCAAGTCTTTCAAAGGCTAGCTCAGTTCGAAAATGCGTTAAATAATTAAATTCAAAGGGAAACATTGCATCTGTGTATGAGTATTTTTTTATTGTCAGTAAATTTCAATTCTTCTGGGACTGAACTCATATCTACTATTAATAGCTATGTGAATTATTTATATTGCTGATTATGGAGTACTATATTATTTTACTTTTTCTCCCATAGAAATTCCATCGTCTCTTCCGGCCCGCTCTGATGATGAATTCTGTGTTTCGACAAGAAAATTCGCCATTGGTATAGCAATCGCTGGAGTCCTGTTAATGCTGGCTGTTATTCTTTTGGTTGCATGTATCGTACACAGACGTCGTAGGAGGAAGGGCTCCTCTACTGCTGGTTCCTCCATATATTCTGGCCCATATTCCAACCATGCTTACAGCAGAGATTAATTTGTGATACGGTCTGCAGGCCAGGCTTGTAATAACATTTCGTGTGTATCCTTCTAATTCAGGGTCAGCGAAGTTATCAATATTAGCTTCAAAATGATGGCTGCGGAAATTATTTTTCTACAGAATGCGATAAACATACATACAGTATCAAATGTATCTGTATATTATGCTTTTGCTCTGGACCTAGCTTGGGTATTGTACTTCTAATTGTAATAGGAACAGCCTCATTTATAAATAACATAAATTCGTTTTCATGCCACTTTTTTATGACCTTAATGATTTTCACTAAATCTTGGAATTACGTAACTAAGAGCTTTGATGAGCTGAAATCATCAGTAATACTTAATAAGTTTTTCACTAGGTGTCGTATGTGTTTTTTTTCCTTGTGCGTGCTTCAAAGTACTGTTCATGTGAGTGGCATAAAGTTTTGCTTGTGTACTTTTGTGTTACTATATCTTCGTTGTACATTTATTTGTCTTTTGTGCGCAGCAGAATGATGTTAAATTATTGAAAAACTGTTCTTCTTCTGTTATTTTGTTCAATATTATATTTAGGAAATAGGTGGAAATGAGATGAGATGTTTTTTCTGGAATTAATATTTGTAGTTATTTCTTTAATTGGTAATATTGTCCTTTTAATGAATGTTTTTGCAGGCATCTTATTCGTGAAACTCCTAAATTTATATTGCATAGTTATAACAAGATACGTGCCGTGAATATTTTTCGGAATAATTGATTTAAGAATATGAGTGCCAAATCATTAACTGCGTTAGTTTTTAAATGTTAAAATTGCCAAAGCTTTTGTATCAGAGACTGCCTTATTTATCTCTTTTACTCGCAATTTTTGCACCCAAAATTTCGCCTTAAATTTGAAATTCGCCTTAAAAGCATTTACAGACGTCAGGAGCGTAATTTGAGTGTAATCAATGTCTTTCGATGTACTTTGAAAACACTCACATTCTTAGAACATTTTATAATTTTAATAATTAACATTTCTCATAGAGTAAGGTTTGTATTTATCAGCGATGATCTGAAATGAAAGATTTTAAACAATCTGACAGATCTGTAACTAAACTAACTAAACTTTACACAGACTAAATCTGTGTAGAGTTTTAGTGTTGCTAATAGCACACACATTTGATCACTAAATTTGGCATGCAGAACATTAATATAACATTATAATCATGTATCTTATTAATATTATATAGACGAGAAGGATGATGATGATCACAATCAAGTTTTATTACTGAACTTTTATTACAGAACTTTTATAACTTTATAAATTTATGTAATTGTTCATTTGCAAATTCTCAAGACAATTTCAGCATGTCCAAAGCTTAATTAATGTAAGCATGTATAAGCACTTCCTATCTTCTTCAAAATATAATGTCTCAACCTTAATATTAGAGTAAAATCATAAAACAAGTTACAGAGTATTTCACATCCTTTAAGTAAAAGTCATAACTTGTTAAAAATGTGGAAAATTCCACATTAAAAAAAACTTAAAGAATTATTTTAATTAAAAAAGCTTATATATTTGAAATATATAATATTAACAGCATACCCTTAAGTGTACGATGTTAAGACTACATTTTAATTCAGCATCTGCAATTAATTTTTATGGTGTAGGAATAAATGCTTTTTAGCGTATGCCTCGTCCGAGATTGTCAATTTAAGTTTAACAAGAGAAGGTTAGTTGACGACAGAGTCAGCAATAAATATAAGGAGCACTGGATGTTTTATAAATTTGACTTAATTTTTGGATAATGAGCATTGAAATGCAGTCCCATTAAACTCCATTTACGGTTTTAATATACTTTTTAAGCGAGTTTAGGTGATCTATCCCGAGCTTCTTCTATAAAATTATTGAATGTTCTCTCGAAAACTAACCTTCAGTCTGAGATTCTTGAGTATAGACGGGAGGCATAAATTTTTCCAAAATATTATTTTGAATAAAACGAGAAAATTTACTTCCAAAATTATTTTGCATATTGTTTAAATTATAAGTTATGTTTTTAATTTATTTTGTCTTTAGGTATTTTCTTAAAATTTAAGATATTTTTCATATTTATCTCACATCTTTGAAGTAAACATATAATGGAACTTAATTCGTTTCTCTTAAATGTTTAAATAAAAAATATTCATGGTATTTAAAAATGCGTAATTATTCCAATAGGTAAAACTATCTACACTATTTAAAATTATATTTTTTTCAGATAGGGTAATCAGACAATCACACAGTTTTGCTCTTTCATGTCCTCTAATACGGAAGAGACAACAACGGCGAGAAGCGTGTTAAGTTAGGATTGGTTTTCTCTGAAAAGCGAAAAAATATTTCCTTTTCTTTTTCTTTTAAGTAATATTTGTTTTCTTTGTGTATATTGAAATGACCCGCCCAATAGGCAGCTAAGTCAAATGGTGATGGAAACAACCTAAGATTAGTAGAATAGTAAATACTCATCGAACTAAAACGGTGGAGGAAGATTAATAAAGAATTAAACTGAGAAAATACAACTGATGCCATGTTTTCTCCCCACAACATGTTTCACTTTCAAATATATAAGCTTTTTTAATTAAAATAATTCTTTAAGTTTTTTTTAATGTGGAATTTGACACATTTTTAACAAGTTATGTCTTTTACTTAAAGGATGTGAAATACTCTGTAACTTGTTTTATGATTTTACTCTAATAAATGTGATACTAAAATGTTAGCCTATATGTGTACTTTACTGAGTCTTGGTTCATTTTAGATTGTTTAACGATGTTTAATGATAATTGATTTAATGCTTATTTCTCTTCTTCTCTTTATGCTAATTTGTAATCAGTCGTTTTTGCAAGTTTTAGTCTAAAGTATTGTAACACTATCAGTTTAAGTATTATTTAAAGAGCGTGTACTGCGCTTTCGTGGAACATTAATACAAATATTGGCATTACTTGCAATTTTCAAATAAGATTCTGCTAAAAACGAAAATTGCCAATGTTAAAATTACAATGTTTTTGTGTGAGAGACTGCCTTATTTAACTCTTTTACTCGCAATGTTCGCACCCAAAATTTCGCCTTAAATTTGAAATTCACCTTAAAAGCATTTACAGAAGTCAGAAGCGCAATTTAAGTGTAATCGAAGTCTTTCGATGTACTTTGAAAAAACTCACATAATAAGAATATTTTATAATTTTAATAATTAACATTTCTCATAGAGTAAGGTTTGTATTTATCTTCGATGATCTGAAATGAAAGACTTTTAACAATCTGACAGATCTGTAACTAAACTCTACACAGACTAAATCTGTGTAGAGTTTTAGTGTTGCTAATAGCACACACATTTAATCACTAAATTTGGCAAGCAGAACATTAATATAACATTATAATCATGTATTTTATTAATATTATATAGAAGAGAAGGATGATGATGATCACAATGAACTTTTATTAGAGAACTTTTATAAGTTTATAAAATTATGTAATTATCAATTTTTAAATTCTCAAGACAATTTCAGCATGTCCAAAGCTTAATTAATGTAAACATGTATAAGCACTTCCTATCTTTTTCAAAATAAAATGCATCAACCTTAAATTTAATAGCATACCCTTAAGTGTATGCTGTTAAGATTACATTTTAATTCAGCATCTGCAATTTATTTTTATGGTGTAGGAATAAATGCTTTTTAGCGTATGCCTCGTCCGAGATTGTCAATTTAAGTTTAACAAGAGAAGGTTAGTTGACGACAGAGTCAGCAATAATTATAAGGAGCACTGGATGTTATATAAATTTGACTTAATTTTGGGAATATGAGCATTGAATGCATTCCCATTTAACTCCATTTACGGTTTTAATAGACTTTTTAAGCGAGTTTAGGTGATCTATCCCGAGCTTCTTTTATACAATTATTGAATGTTCTCTCGAAAACTTACCCTCAGTCTGAGATCTTTGAGTACGGACGGGAGGCATAACTTTTTCCAAAATATTATTTTGAACAAAACTTGAATATTTAATTCCAAAATTATTTTGGGCCTACCAGCGGCCGAGCGGTAAAGTCGCTGAGCACTGGTAGTTCGGTCCGTGGTTCGAAACCCTCGAATGGGCTGGCTGCATGGGCGTTTACGTGGTTTTCTCCATGTGTAACGTGTATACGAGTCAGTTTCCCTTAGAACGTCCTCCGCGAGTGCATCCCTTCCCTTAGGTAGATAGCTCTAGTGTGCTTTGCGTTATTCTCCATAATCCAATCCAAAATTACTTTGCATATTGTTTAAATTATAAGTTATGTTTTGAATTTATTTGTCTTTCGGCATTTTCTTACAAATTAAGATATTTTTCATATTTATCTCAAATCCTTGAAGTAAACATATAATGCACTTAATTCGTGTCTCTTAAATGCTTAAATAAAAAATATTCATGGTATTTAAAAATGCGCAATTATTCCAATACGTAAAACTATCTAGAGTGTTTAAATTATATTTTTTCAGATAGGTAATCAGACAATCATACAGTTTTGCTCTTTCATTACCTCTAATATGGAAGAGACAAGAACGCCCAGAAGCGCGTTAAATTAGGATTGGGTTTCACTGAAAGGCGAAAAAATATTTCCTTTTCTTTTTCTTTTAATTAACATTTGTTTTCTTTGTGTATATCGACATGACCGCCCAGTAGGCAGCTAAGTCAAATGGGGATGGAAACATCTTAATATATGTAGAATAGTAAATATTCATCAAAGTAAATTGGTAGAGGAAGATTAATAAAGAATTAACCTGAGCAAATACATCTGATGCCATGTTTTCTCCCCACAACATGTTTCACTTTCAAATATATAAGTTTTTTTAATTAAAATAATTCTTTTAGTATTTTTAATGTTAAATTTTCCTCATTTTTAACAAGTTATGACTTTTACTTATGAACTGTAAGAGCATGTGAAATGCTCTGTAACTTTATTTATGATTTTTCTCTAATGTATGTGATACTAAAATGTTAGCCTATATGTGTATTTTACTGAGTCTTGGTTCATTTTAGATTGTTTAACGATGTTTAATGATAATTGATTTAATGCTTATTTTCCTTCTTTTCTTTATGCTAATTTGTAATCAGTTGTTTTTGTAAGTTGTAGTGTAAAGTATTGTAACACTATCAGTTTAAGCATTATTTAAAGTAAGATTCTGCTAAAAACGAAAATTGCCAATGTTAATATTGCAATGTTTTTGTATGAGAGACTGCCTTATTTAACTCTTTTACTCGCAATGTTTGCACCCAAAATTTCGCCTTCCATTTGAAATTCGCCTTAAAAGCATTTACAGAAGTCAGGAGCGCAATTTAAGTGTAATGTCTTTCTATGTACTTTGAAAAAACTCACATTATTAGAATATTTTATAATTTTAATAATTAACATTTCTCATAGAGTAAGGTTTGTATTTATCTGCGATGATCTGAAATGAATGATTTTTAACAATCTCACGGATCTGTAATTAAACTCTACACAGACTAAATCTGTGTAGAGTTTTAGTGTTGCTAATAGCACACACATTTAATCACTAAATTTGGCATGCAGAACATTAATATAACATTATAATCATGTATTT